GATGTTGAGACTCTAGATAGAGTACAGAGAAGAGAAACAAAGATGATTAGGGGACTGGTGGCTAAAACATATAAGAAACAGTTGCTGGAATTGGGAATGTCTAGTAGTCTAATGAAGAGAAGGACGAGGGGTGACATGATAGGAGTGTTCCAATATTTCAGGGGCTGTCACAAAGAAGAGCGAGGAATGATGCAGATATGAAAACAAAACAGAAGAAGTTGTAGGATGAATAAAGAATAACAAGAATAAGTCACCCAGAGTTGTTCAATGTTGAGATGGGCAGCATACAAATGTAATAAATAAATACATAGTGCTTACAGAAATGAATCTCTTTCTTTGCTTCCATCACATCCATAGAAAACAGAGCAACATTATTGGGAACTGAATTGAATATATATACTAGTTCTTCTGGGCTGCTGAACAATTTTTGGTATCATGAATCATGATAATCTGGAACATCTGGAAGGCCAAACCTATCCTGCTGCAGGCTCCAGCCATACATTAACACAGAATCTTGGATGATTATCAACTGAAGATATTTCAGTGAAACAAGTGATGTAAACAAAGCTGAGGCTTGCCTGCAAGGCTTGCTTTGAGAATGGGAGCATGCTGAAGAATTGTCCAGGTCACAAATGAAGGCAAAGGTCAGTTCAGTTCAAGGATTTAGAGCCAGATCAAATCCAAAGATTAGAGATCCAAGAAGCAGAATCCACACACGAATATCATGCACAAGCTAGATATCAGATATTGTTTTTAGCAAGGAGAACAAAGGCAGAGTAGATTATTTTATAGACCTCAATCAGCTGTCAAAAATAGAAATATTTACTTCTTTACTTAGTGAGAAGTCTAATAGACCTCTATTCTGCTCTCTCTTCCACTCACTATGTGTGTGAGCTGGAAGGTCTTACGTCCTCCTCCTCTGACTCTTTTTGCTCAGGTGTTGCTTGTGTTTAATTGGCCTCGTGTGATTTTTCCTGAGGCTGTATACCTGAAGCTTCTTCTCCAGAATCTCAGTCCTGAGCTTGGTAGTTCATGTTCTTCCTGTCAGGACTGATATTTCATACTTGCGCTATTGACTGGTGTTGTACCATATAATCCCATCTTGTCTCCATGGTGTTCGACATGTACATGAAACCAGAGGGATGATCATTTAGTGATTTAAACTGGTTCACTATCAGTATGCTGATATCTCCCTAATCTATTGCTGTCCACCATCAAACTCCAAGTGTCAGTATTCTAAAATATTGCTTAAGTTTCATGATAGGCTGGATAAAGATGGATGTGCTGCTGGTGTTAGCCTTTTGAGATAGTCCACGCAAGAAGCACAGCCAGGAACATCAACACTATCTTTATTGTAATGTTACATTAAAATGTTGCAAGACTCAAAAGTATTTCTCCCCTCCTCTCTTGAGGCTCCAAAAACTAGGGAGGGCCCCTTCTGAGATGCTTCCCATGGTTTTCTCTCACCTGCAGACTGAGCTATTCTTATCAGTATTAAGAGTATTGTCTGGGTTGCAGGTCTTCCTCTTGCCTACCAAAGTCATTCCCATAATCCATTACACCTGATTAGTAAGAAATTGGATTCAGAGATTAAATCTGTCCTGAATATTGATGCCACCATTTTAAGCCCAAATCATTTAAGGTCTCTCTGAGACACTGTTTCTTCTGTAAAGAACTTGTTTGAACAGGCTCTTTTGAAAATGTCCCTACTTCGAGAAGCTTCTCTTATCCTGTAGTAAGGTTCTTCTATTGAATCCTTTCTGGGCTATGAAGTGCATTCTTTCTGGAGCTGGACTGTCTTGCATTTAAAAAAATCTTTAAAGACATCTATTTAACCAGGCCTCTAATCCCAGAATGTTGGAGTTGGAAGGAAGCTTATAGGTAAATTCTAGTCCAACCCTTTGCCCAGTGCACCAGAACTCCTTGGATAGTCATCCCACCCCTATTTGGATACTTCCACAAGCAGAATTATTTACTCCTGTTCTAGGCAGCTTGTTCTACCACTTAATTATAGTTCTTCCACCAGGAAAGTCGTCCCAATATCCAGCCTTTTTAAAAATTTCAACTTGTTACTGTTTGTTCTGCTTTGGCTTGAACAGAAAACAAGAGTTGCAATTATCACCTTTTCTTTTGCAAGCTTTAAGTTCTGCTCCTTCAACCCTCCCCAAAGCTTGGATTCCAACCTCCTTATCATCTTGATACTTCTCCTCTGAAACATTTCCAGCTTCTGCATTGTAATTTTCAAGGATGGTGCTCAGAACTGAAGAGTGCTCCTACTGCAGAAGAGCCAAGGCAGATTATAATGGAGCTCTTATCTGCCATGACTCTTTGATGGCCATTTATTTTATTATCCATGTTTTGATTTACTTGTTTTTTTTTAACTCTATGTGTTTTGTTTGACATTTAAGTTTTCTTGAACACTTATTTTCCACAGAAAAGTGGCACATCAAATAAATAAGATAAATAAATGATAAGCCCTATTTCCTTTTCATTACACCATAATTTTTAACTCGCATTTCAATAAACCAAAGAATCTAGAATATTCCAGATGTTCCTGTTTCTCAACTCCCAACGTTCGTCACCACTGACAGTGGGGAAGGTTGTTGGGAATTGTGATTGTGACAATGAGCTTGTTGGGAATTTGTGATTCAATAGCATTTCAAGCAACACTAGTTCCTTACCTCTGTAATAAGTCTTTGTACAAGGAAAGAACTCATCAAATTTTACAGGTATCTTCATTACATGCCAAAATAAATCAATAAAACTAGAGGGTGGAGGATTAGTTTATAAAGGAAGGGGTGTTTATTTAGCACATATGCTGTCATGTACATATGTTATTGTACTGGCAAAGTCTAGTCCCAAAGATTGAGCTACCTCTATTTAGAACAGTAAGTAGCAGATGTTTACATGAAACAGATGATGGTATTGTAATTTCTCATTGATAATTGCAATGTCTGTAATCTCACCAGCTGTGTTAGTTTCAGGGTTTCATATCCTATATTAAAGGGTACATGAAAATGTATGAGAGAATGAAGTTGAGAATATTAATGTTAATTGGCCTAATTCAAGATGAAACAATATCCTCAAAGAAGGGTTAGGTGGCTCGTTCTAAATCTGTCTGCTCTCTTTATCTTAGCCAGAAGTCCAAAGAAGCTATTTAAATCTATCTACTTGCAGAGTACAAATTCAAGCATTTCTTTATGTTATCATTGTTCATGAATGATTTAAATTAATAATAAACCAGCTGTTGTTGCTGTAACAGTTTTTGCAAACACTCCTCTAATACATGGAAATGTTGAGGTGGATACTAGCAAATTCCATAAATGTCCAATGGTACTTCAGTAGATTCAGTGGATTTTTGGAGTTCAAGGAATTTTGATTGAAAAGAAATACTTATACCAGTCCTAACTAGCTTAAGTGAATTTTTTGTTTGGACATGAACATTTTATTACTGTAGGTTTTTCTCTAGCTGTTCACTCCACATCATTAGGTTATCACTTTGCAGGAAATTTCTCCTGTTAACGCTGCACAAACACTAACCTATTTCAAGTACTAATCACCCAATATTTCTCCCCCACACAATAATGTATAAGCTTTGTCACAGGAGATTGTGTCCTGCTTTTCTTTTTATAAGATGGAAGAGACAAAATTCAGTGGTTGGGTGAGAGAAAGTAAATTCTCTTCAAAGAATTTTTAAAACTCTTGAAAAAAAAATCAACTTTATAGAAACATGGTGCATTACAGGGAAGAATTGTATAGCCTTATTTTCTGTTTGCTTTCAAGTTACAATTCTAAACACCAGAAAGCAATCTGGAAGAACCTGGGGAGATAGTTGGCATAGTGTTTAAAGTGTTGGAGAATGTCTGCAAAGATCCAACCACACTTACCATGAAAACTCATTGGGTGACTTTGGGTGAGTGATTCTCTCTGAATCCAAACCTATTTCACAGGATTATTTATTGTGGGGATAAAATGAGGTGACATTCCAGTATATGCTGCCTTAAGTTCCTGGTCAGTGGGGGGGGGGGAAGAGAAATAAATGTTACAGGGGGGAAAAAAAGCCAAAATGCAGTGAGGAAAAAAAGAATAATTTAACAGTAACAAAACATTTAGCTGGAGTATTGAACAACACTATAAAACAGTGGTTCTCAACCTGTGGGTCGGGACCCCATTTGGGGTCGAACGACCATTTCACAGGGGTCGCCAAACAAAGCAGTCCGCCATTTTTCCCCCCCTTTTCCTTAGCTGTGCTACTCTCTTTTATTCTATTGGCTTTTGAAAGCCAATAGAATAGACTCTCTTGAATAGAGTCTAATTCTATTGGCTTTCAAAAGCCAATAGGAATTGTCCAGGCTGTCTCTGCCCTGCTGAGCCCGCCAAAAGTCCCATTCTGCAAACGGTGCTGCACCAGTTGAGTAGTCCTCGACTTACGACCAGTTGAGTAGTCCTCGACTTGCGACCGGTTGGGCGTCGCGGCATTAAAAAGGTTGAGAACCACTGATATATAAGCATTAGTTTGATGGACAATGCATTCCGATTTCAAATACAATACGAATAGTAGCATATTTATTGCATTATGAACTCACCATCCGGAAAGGATCCAGAGTAGCCTGAGAGAGTTAGTGACCCAAGGCAGCCAGGGGCTTTTTGAAGAACTATTAGGTTGTGATTGTTGTCACTTTAACCCTTGCAGGGTTTATTGTTTTTGCAGGTTAATTTCAGAAAGGATAACATACAGTATGTATTTATTTATTTGCAGGCATTTGTATTCTGTGCTATTCCAAGTGGCTAGCATTCCTATATTAAAAACATAAAACATACAGCAATACATTAAAATGACAATAATCATATGGGCAGCTTGCTCAATAATGGATTAATTCCTGGATTCACTCTCACTGGAGGTGGAAGACTGGCATCAGATAGGGCGAGGGTTGGTGCAGGCCTTGTCTCTGTGCGCTGTCTTCTCATGGCTTGCAATGCATCTGTTTTTTCTTTTGCAGATGGTGAGCGACTGGGAGAAGAGACAGACCCTGGCAAGCGAGCAGCTGGGGCCCATGTGCCCTCTCCTCACAGGAAGGCTGAGGACTCCAGTGAGAGCCGGGAGGAAGAGCAGATGGTAACTTAATTTGTGCCTGGCTTTGTGCTTTTTCTCTTTGTTGCTTATTGAAAAATAAAGATTTCTAATAACGTTTGTTTGGGAAGTAGTTTGCTAGAATAGTAAGAAAATGCTGTAGGGACGTGAGTCTTCTCAATTCCAGTATGCTTGGGGAAGGGGAGGGATGCCTATAAGGAAGTGTTTTGAGGTATGAGCATGATATAGACATCAGTTAGAAAGCCAGCAGTGCCACTGCTAGGAAGACTATATCAATATTAAACAGGAACATATGTTAATGGTGTCTAGATGAACTACTTGGGCTCCACAGGGGATTACTTTGGGTCAGCGAAAAACTGTCTGAAAAAAAATACGATTGCTAAATACCCCGAAAAAGGGGGATGGTATACCCTAGCACCCTCCATCCCCAAACATGATGGACTTTTGCTAACAGGAATTTGAGTTCATTCTGGATGAGTCATTGGTCTCTTATTTCTAGAGTTTCTCTGTTTCTCTGAAGTTATATACTGTATAAGTAGATGGATGGTGCTCCATTTCTCCTCCATGTCTGAGTTTAGGTACAGCCAGAAGATTAGCCCCTGTCATTGCCTGCTTCAAAAGTTCTTGGTGCAAAGAAGAGTCCAACCTTCCCCCAAGCTTAGAGACCAAAACTCTTCCTCACCTTCTGAAGGTGCAGTGCTTTGGACTCTGATTTTCTCTAGAACTAAAGAAAATCAAAGACACTTTCCAACCTCAGACTGACTAAGTTCATATGTCATTATAAACTATTATTTGTTTTGATGACAGCTTGTTGAACAAGATACAGTGGCCAAATCCACTTGCTATGCTAAGCAATAAACTATTTTTTAAAAGCCATAGTTTCTGGGTTCTCACATCATGGCTTAGTACATATGTAAGAGAGCCAGTTTGATGACTGGGAGACAGGGGTCCTAGTCCTGCCTTTGGTGCAAGTTCGGAGACTGTGGACCAGTCATTCTGTCTCAGCTCTAGGAAGGAGGCAGTGGCAAACCATTTCCAAAAATCTTGCCAAGAAAAATTTAGGGACTTGCCTAGGCAGTTGTCAGGAGGCAAGACTGACTGGAAGGCACACACAAAAAGCCTAACCATGTCTTTAAAAATAATGAGAAAACAGTGAGAAATTGTATTACTGTACTCTGTGAAGCCAGTGTGGTTGAAGGAAGACTTTCTTCTCTAGGATGTTAAGAAGGGGCAGGGGTTATTAGCACTACTGTCAAGCTGTCAGATGCAATTACAGACCCCTGCAATATTACACAGTCAGTGGGGACTAAAATACAAGCCTGCCTTGGTTTTACTGAGGTATTGATATATTGTCTGAAAGTCAGTGACACCTGGCTTAGACAGTTGGCTAGATTTTTGCCCTGGTTAATAGTGGTTTAGAAGGATATTTCAAGCTGTTGCATTTAACTTAATGTAGTCCAGCATGATTAACAATCTGTACAGATTTGTTCCTGACCTCCAATATTAACATTTTCCATGTTATTATTTCCCCCCCCCCTGGGAAACTTTCTCTAATAATGGTTTGTGGCTCTTGCAAAGGGTGGGAAAGAGGGTTGGTTGCTGAGGTCAAGTTCCGTGACAATTTTTAAAATTGGAGTTAAAGGGACGTCAACATTCCTTAAGAAATATCTTTGTGAATGAAAGAGACCCAGACTATAACATACTGGAGAGTTTATTTATTTATTTATTTATTTTTGGCTGGGAGGATTATTCTTTAAGCAGCAATTTACTGGGCTTGGCAGCTGGCACTTAATAGCTGAAGGAAAAATTAGCAGGGCTTTTGTCTGCTGAAGTTGCAGAGCTGCCTTGTTAAGCTGTCTCATAAGGCTGGTTAAGAGAAGATATTAACACTCCTGTAGAAAAGAATATCTGTAGTTCAGATATCTGTGGTAATCTCTGAGCTTGGTTGTTTGCTTGCAGACCAGTGGTGGGATTGAGCTGGTTCGCACCACTTCGGCAGAACCGGTAGCTAATTTCTTGTTGCCCAGGCCCAGAATGGACTTCCGGAAGCGGCATCCACGCAGAGAACCAGTTGTTCACATATTTGAATCCCACCACTGTTGCAGACGTTTCATTCATTAACTAATGGAATGTCTGTAAGCAAACAGCTAAGTATAGAGGAGCACCAAGGACTCCATTAAAGCTCCTGTTAGCACGTTGCTTTATGATAAAGCTTTGGCTCTACCAGAATTGTTCTTTACCCTGGCTGGAAATAGTAAGCAAATTGGCACATAAAGAGCTTGATCTGAAAGGGAGGGAAATGATTCCGTGCCTGCCAGTGATACCGTACTTCCCGGCATATAAGACGACTTTTGAAAGCGTTGAAATCGGCGCCGAAGTCGGGAGTCGTCTTATATGCTGAGTCGTCTTATACACCGGAAATAACGGTAGTTTCCGGCGTATAAGACGACCTTCTAGGCATGTGACTCGCCGCCGAAGTCGGGGGTCGTCTTATACGCCGGGTCGCCTTATACGCCGGAAAATACGGTAACTTCCCTTGTGATGATGATAGTGGTGACTATGTGAAAGGCATCAGCACCTCGGAATACAGGTCGTCCTCGACTTGAAGGTAATGCTCGACTTACAATAGTTCATTTAGTGACCGTTCAAAGTTACAACAGCATTGAAAAAAGTGACTTATGACCGTTTTTCACAGTTACGACCTTTGCAGCATCCCCGTGATCATGTGATCAAAATTCAGTTGCTTGGCAACTGGTTCGTATTTATGACCGTTGCTGTGTCCCAAGGTCATGTGATCACCTTTTACAGTGTCAATGGGGAAGCCAGATTCACTTAACAAGCAGGTTACTAACTTATCAACTGCAGTGATTCACTTAACAATTGTGGCAAGAAAGGGTTGTAAAATGAGGCAAAGCTCACTTAACAAACGTCTCACTTAACAACATAAATTTTGGGGTCAATTATGATCATAAGTCGAGGACTACCTGTAGAAGAGAAAACATTGACAAAGTTGGGTGAGAAGTAATACAGAACACATAACATAAGCTCAAGAAGAGTATTGTATGATACTTGGCCATGTTACGTGGACACAAATGCTAATTAAGTCCCCTGCATGAGCAATAACATTTAATAGTATGTTGATTACGTGTCTTTAGAGATAAGGGCAGAATATGACCTAAAAGGTATGTACAAATCCATGCAGAAGCATATCTCTCGCAGCAGTTGGCATGAAAAAAAATAAATAAAACCCAAAAAAGTGCAGTTGCTGTCATTTTACTAATGACTTAACCATTTTTGTAGTCCTTAATTTTGGCTGCCTTGTTAGGATGGGAATTTTGGAGCATGTGGCTTTAAAACGAGGTACGCCTAAGCATGTTGACTTTCTGATACTACATCTAATAATATCATGGACAGTGCCTGTAAGAGTTTCCAGTTCAGATCATGTTTCCCAAAGGCGTTCCTGCATTTTCCCAATGCTTTTTCAGTCATTTTTCTGCTGCAAAAGAATCAGACTAGCTTCATAATCTTTCTGATTGATAGCACTATGAATTGTTCATTTAGAAACAATATTTGGCTAGACTGCCCACGGAGCTGTGAACAGAAACCAAAACTCTGAAAGCCAGTTTATCTATAATAGTAAAATTTTTGGAACAAATATTCCAAAGCTAAAGTATGCAGATATTTCATAGTTAATTAACTACGCATATTTGAATTAAATTTCCAAGTTATATATGACATTGGCTTTTCAAAGAATCTGGAATGTTGTTTCACTAAATATATGTATTTCAGTAGCAGATATATATACTCAGGATTAGGATTAGGATCTTCCTGCTGTGATATCTCCAGAGAGATTGCAGTTTGTTTGTTTGTTTTTTAAATGAACAGTTTTATACCTTCTTTGCTCCCCCTTTGGATGCTATTTAGAATTAAGGGAGCACCTCGCTGTGTATTGCAGCTTTTCTTCAGCCCAGGAAAGAAGCTAGCATGAGAGATGATATTGTGTGGAGGAGCAAGAAATACAAGAACCATCCACTGGAAGCAGCGATAGTCTCCCCTTGAATGACTCCAAGCAACATTTCATGGAATCAAGCCTTTGTACAGACCACACAATATTTCTTTACCTTCAAGCTGCCAATGTTACACTGCAGAGCCTCAACCAGGCTCTTCTGAATTCCAGGCAGCAATTGCCAACATTGTTGGCAGATTTATCTTGCAATGCGACCACAAGCCTGGATTCAGAATCATGGCAGCCAATATATTAGTTAAAAAGTTGATCAGTCACAAGATTAAATTATGGGCTAGGATGATAAAGTACTAAAATTCCCACAATGGAGGAATGAATTGTAAAAAGGGCAGAATTGGCTGAAATGACAAAACTCATCTGTTTGTCAAGGAGAAAAAGACAAGTGCTTTTTAAAGGATTGGAAACCTGTATGTTTTTTTTTTTTTGCTGAAATAAAAAAGTGAAATGATAATTTATGGATTTAATGATTGAAAAGATGAGAATTTTAAAAAGTGAAATGATAATTTATGGAATTAATGATTGAAAAGTTGAGAATTAAATTAGGGATTGAAGGGATTTCTGGAATAATAGTTAAGAGGGAAGGGAGACAAAGCATTTGCTAATATCTGTTGAAGGGAAGGTTGGAAGTGATTATAATTCATAGTTTATTTCCTTTACTTTATTTTCTTGCACCTTTTTCTTTTTTCTTCTTTTCTATTCCCCCCCCCTTTAGATTTTTACTGCGTATAAAATTCTTAACAAAAATAATGAAAAGTTGGTTCTTAGACTTGCCTTCCTTCCATTCTGATCATAAGCGTAAAGCTATTTAGTGACCCTAGCACCCATCTTTGAAGAAATCAGGGACGAAAAGAAGACACAAACAGACATTTAAATCTCAGCAGTCTTTCTTCCTTTAAGGTAGCCTAAGCAGCAGCCCTGGAGGTCCCAGAAGAGGTCTAGACGCCTTTAGTAGAGAAATTCTGTGATCCTTCAGCAAGTTCTCTGTTTAACTTTTTATTCA